GTGTTTGTATTGAAGAAAGAAAAATGAGATTTTTAATATTTGTATGGCATATTTATTTTCATTAAGGGTATATATGTCATTACTTATTTATTATTCAATTTTTATTTTTTTGATATTGAAGTGAGAAATATTTGGGATTTGTTATAGTCATTCCCAAACTCAAGGTATAAAACTCAAACCTTGAAATTTGAATGGTATATATGTACTAAAAATGAGTATTCATTTATGATACAATGATAGAGTAAATTGTAAATACTACCCCTGTGTTATCTCGAAATAGCGAAAACCCCCCTGTGATAAATAAACTAGCAAAAACCCCCCTGTGAAATTTAGTCAAAGGCAGAATCCCCCCTAGCTGATTTTTTAGACTTGAAATGACAAAATTGTCCCTCAAAATGTATTTATATATATACATATTATATGTATATTTATTCTTTTTAATTTGTTTGTTTAGAAATTAAAAAAAAATAGTAAACAACTAAATTGATTTTTTTTAAATAAAATAATTAAAATATTTATAAAATATAAGAAATTATTAATTGCAAGTATTTGTGTCTTTTTATATCAAGTCAACCCTCAAATAGTTCCATAGGAGGGTTTTTGCTATTTAAATAATTTCACAGGGGAGGTTTTTGCTAGTTTATTTATCACAGGGGGGTTTTTGCTATTTCGAGATTACACAGGGGTAGTTTTTGCAGTTTACTCTACAATGATATTAAAAATATCATGAAGTTTGAAGTTATCTATGATTGTTGAAGAAGACAATATAAGATTTGAGTTACTGAAATTGAGATCCATTACATGCCGTGAAAACACAAAATATTTTATATTGTTGATATTTTTCTCGAAGAGAAACCAAATATATCATATTGAAACGATGTCTAAAAGACACGAGCAAAGTATATTTGTATCTTAAAGATACAAGTAAAAGAATTGGTGACATATGTCTTGGACACACAAGTAAAAGTAACATATGATATAGTTATTTATGAATATATGTAAGTGAAAAAATTATCTAATTTATGAAACTAATTTATGGATTTATGTTCCCATATCGTGATCTGGCAGCCTCGGATCGGAAACTGCGCACAACCTTTCCATATCGTGATACAGGAATGTTGGATATTGATCTGGGTCTAAATAAATAACGTTATGCATGTTAGAACCCCCAGATCGCGATACGGGAAGGCTGGATCACGATCTTGGTCTTGCGTCAACTTCTAACACTGCTTTGACCATTTTTCAGCCCAAATTTGACAAATATGCATTTTTTCAAAAGTTGTAGGCCTTACAGTTGACTTTCTACTTGGATTCAGAGCAATCGGAGGTATGTATAAGAGAGTTATGCTTGAAATACGAAACACTGTCATATCCCGCGAGTATGCACGTTTGCACGTGTTTGGTTTGATTCTCGGCTTCGCTTCTAAAATCGTTTCGAATGGGTAAAAATAGCTTCTCTTTAGCTAAAACTGAAAAAATAAATAAATAAATAAATAAAACATAATATATACTAATAAAGCCTAACACTCGGACGAACGAAGACCAAAATTCAAGTATTCGATAAGTAAAAATCGTGCAAAACGAATACTTATCCATAACGATAAAAGGGACTAAATTTTATTCAAACTTGGTAGATAAGAAGTACGATGGCTGTTAGCCGGTTCACAAACATCACAATGAAAGTGATACGATCCTAGCAAGCTTAAATCGAAAGAAGAGAAAACGAGTGAGATTCATGGAGCCGTTCCTGTTTGAGTTGAAGAATAAAGGCTTGAATCGGGCCTTTAAAGAGTCCTTACTTAGGAATTGAAAGTAAAGGATGAAGAGAGTTCGTTACACAAGTCGAATTCCATACATGCGAGATTCTCGCCTATTTACTATCCGGGTTATAACTCTTTCATATGACGTCCAATTAAGGTGATTCTAATTGCTACAGAATGCCAGCTTCAAGATATAAAACTTCGATGTTTTTGATCCGAGAGAGATTCGGAGTGGAAAAGGTCGGAGATCGAGCTTGAAGTCAAGATACGTGCACAGCCAAGTGTCTACTCGAGTTGTGAAGAATGTTCATGTCGTCGACTTGATGTTTGGAGTTTATATTTTATTAAATTACGTTTTTATTTAGTATTTATTACATTTCATTGTTTTAGAGTTCTTTATGATTATGATTTTCTTATTTATTAGTTTCGTTATTATAGTTTAGGTAGGAGTCATTTTCCTTGTGAAAAAATAGTCTTTTTAGGCTTTATAAATAGGTTGCCAATTTGGCATTTTATTATGGACGAATTTTAATGATATTTTGAGTATTTGGTGGGATTAATTCTCCTTCGCTGTTCAACAGCAACCTTAGGGATTTTACAAGTGGATTCTTGTAATTTTCTTAGCGACATAATATTGGTTTCTGGTTCTTTATAACCACGGGTCAATATGTCACCTTGATAATAATTGTTTCTAGCTCTTTATAGCTATGGGGTCATTATTCCATGCTTCCGCCAAATGTGAATCCTTTGTTTTTGGATGTTTTCGATCCTAGTTCCGCGTAAGGTATTGAGTCTCGTAACGAGTTCTATGGGGTTTGCATCAGAAAGTCTGAATCATTTAAAGATGAAAAAAGGTTTAATCGTAATTTCTTTAATTATCCAAAACCGTATCTTAATCTTCGATGCCATAACCAAATAGTTGCTAGAGTTTTATTTTCGATGCTTGTATGATATGCTTGGCTAGATTTTTGTTCCCCGTTCCCTGTCAATTCCATGTAATAGAGTTTTCCTTGTTTAACACCATGACCAAGAATCATCCTAGTTAGAATGTCCTGGAAAACACAAAATGAGGGCCAAAAAGTAACGGTACAAGCAAGAGTGGTGGCTATTTGACTAACAGATAAACGATTGTATTCAAGGGATGGAACATCTAGGACTGTATCTAAACTGAGAGTTGTGCATAAAATCACCAGATCCTTCTCCAATAATTGGAGAAGTACTACCATTAGCTATAGAGATAACAGACTGAGAAGAAAACGAAAAGAGTATAACTGATTAAAGTCCCTAGTCATATGGTTGGACGAACTTGTAACTATTATCCAAGTATTATCCTTAGAAGTTGTCGAGAATACAATGGCATTATCAAAAATACCTGGATGGGTAACATTTGATGGGCTTGTGTTTTGTTTGTTCCTTGTCAGTGTATGTTGTCATAGCTTTCACGCCAACCTTCTTTCTTAGCTTTTTGGTAAAGTCCCACCACTCGGGATAGCCCACAATTTCGTAACATGGTTGTTTTGAATGACATGTTTCACCACAATGATCACAAACAAAGTTATTAGATTTACCAAGAGATTGTTTATTTTTGTTCCTGTGCGAATTGGAAGATGACCCTTTTGATTTATTTCCTTGAAAAATTCGTTATAGTACATTGCCAGAGGTCTACCACTTTGATTTGTAGAAAATGATCTCAGGTTAAGTTTGAAAAGACAAGTTTCATCTGATCCATGGTATAAGGTTTCAATACAACTTCCCACATCTCCTTTGCCGTTAGAAGACAGATGAAACTATGCATGAGTGATGGACTCATTGAATCAACTAGCCAAATTTTCACTCTTTGATTTTCGATAGTCCATGTAGCCAGATTTGGATCTTCAAGTGCTCGTTTTTTCGCTTGTACGTTGAGATATCCAGCTTTGTTTCGAGCGCCAATACACATCTCCATGAGTTGAGACCATAATGGACGTAATTGGTTTCATCCAAATATTACGCTGGTACGGAATTAATGCAAAGTTGTCTTGTTGGATAATAATATTTCTGGGTGGGATTGTTTGTAACAGTTGGAACAATGGAAGAATCGGGGTTCACCATTTTTCCAAATTAGCAAGAAAAAAAATGGCTTTAAAAATAAGTTTATAGAATATAGAATCATATTAAGTTCTATGTATTTCACCTCCAGAGGTGTCAATGCCTTGACTTTGTTTACACTGGGAGCATGAGTGAGTTTTTATTTGACAAAGAATATTTGACAATTAGCAATTTCATAGCGGACGTATTTGCAATTAACTCATGTATATATAATATATATGTGGATTCATGCATGCATTTTGATTGAATATAAGTATTTGTGACCACTAAATATATTCAATGAATCCACTTATGAACTCCTTTAATTAATGTAGTAGTTTCTCTATTTACAAAGAATGTAGATAACAAATTGATTTACAGAAATTAAAGAGTCTTATTACTTCTTATTAACTATGCTGCTTAATATTAATTCTTTATTAGTAGTCTATTTATTAATTGAATCCAATAGTATGACTTGATTGCTCCAATAGATTTTGTAAATGAAGGGATGTGTGTCTTTTCAAAAAAATAGATAGATAGATAGAAATAGATGAAATTTTGAAGACCCTTGGAAAAATTCCTGAATTCATGAATTCGTCACTGGGTTCGACATTTGACTGTCTTGAGTCTAATTTTACAAATTATTTGCGCTACGTGTACTTCCGTGTTGTTTTCACCCAAAACAAACATTTTATACACAAAAAAAGTTTGAAAATTACATGTGAGAAAATTGCACTATCAAATAACTATTGTGTAGCTCTTGCATAAACATAATTCATAGTAAAAATTATGTTACTAGATTTTTCAATGAAAATTATATGAAGGTGGCAGGAAATAGCTAGAGAAAGTCTTGACTGCAATTTCCTCTTTTTCATGTAATATTTGGTGTACCACTTGGTAGTGTAGCTTAAAAGAAAATGAAAACCAACAAAATCATCACGTAAGGATTGTCTTAGTTGGTGGAATAAAAGAGCGTGTTGTCCAATAATCCAGTTTAACTATATGGTTGGTTGGAGCTCCTTTATTGTAAAAAAGGAAAACATTGAAAAAGAACAAAGTAAATAAACTAGCAAATTGTCCTTTTTATGAACCTAATTTTCTTTTGTCCCAAAGGAAATTTGCTTCATTACTACATCTTTCGAATATGTGGTTTCATGGAGCATGGGTCCGAGAAATTAAACACATATTTGACGTACTTTCATCTCCAAATATTCGAAATAACAGGATCGTAATTAGAAAGGATAAAGTACAAAGGAATACTTGATACTACTTTTAATATTTGTGTTTTTGTAACAATAACATAAAAAGGCACTTATAGTATAAGGGCTACTACATTCCCCAAATGCCTGCCCAATTGATCTTTTTCTTTGTGGTTGTATTTTCACACACAACATTAGGTTTAAAAAGTCCATTTTATATTATTACTCCAAAGTAGGTGCTTCTTCGGTTGGATTTGACTCGAAAACATCTGGTTTAGATGCATCTGGTTCTTCAAGAAGATCACGAGATTGAATAGCTTCCTTGTAAACTGGTGTCTCCTTGAAATCTGTTGCTCCTTCGTTGTATGTAGCCACAGCAATCCCACATGCAGTTAACTGCACTCGTAAATAATATATAGTCAACATCAAAATCCACAACAAACAACATACAATTAATTGGCAGTAACTGGATCCGAGGTAGGTGCTTATCTTTAACTGTTTACAACGTATAATACTAATTAAATCCTTTGAACAACAGGTTTTAATCAAATTACGACACTATGCCTGATCTCCGATTTCGGCAAGGACAAGTTAAAGAAACAGATTTAAGCATAGCATAGTGCTCCCAGTATTATTTTTGGATTGTCTTCACCCTAAACACTGATTAGTGATTACACACACAAAATCTACAATAATCATAGTGCAAATGATAGTCGCATTTCGTATCAAACATAGATTTGTCGCTAGAAACTATGATACATGAATAATCTTGTGCAGAAAAGAAGTAGAATAAGAAATTTCAGTGGTTCGTAAAGCATAACCGGTAAACATAGAGAAACACAATTACATTAGTTCCTGGAGTGCAATGTGAATCTGATTCTAGACATCAACTAAAGCTCCTACCAATTACATTTACCTATATATCCACAGAATTCTAAAAGCAATTTTTTATGACCGTAAATAGCGAACTTTTATTTTCCAATCAATGTTCGATATAGGTTCGAAACGGTAAACATAACGAGGCTAGAAGCAAGAGTGCAATACGAAGAGGTACCAAAATTTTAACCGTAGTGCTATATATCTATAGCTCCAATATATGTGAGCACCAAATAAACATGCAGTTAAATAATGGTAATCATTCGTAACATTAGCTTTACGTTCAGAGATGCAGACAAGTTTACATTCTTCACCGAAATCCCGTGTAGCTCACGGCTGCCTTAACCAAATACAAAATTCAGAGTCACTTAAATCTTAATATATAATCCATTTCTTAAGTTGAATGTATACAGTTAGTTATGCAGAATTGAAAAACACAAGAGTAACTATACCGCAACTTCATTCACCATCACCCAAATACTAAGCACACAATCAAGAATGTTATACATATAGGCCCCGTTTGGTTGGGGAGATTATCCATGATTAACTAAATAGTTGGACTTTATTGGATGTTTGCTATCCCCAATAACTTGCCGAGTCAATCCGCAAATATTATGTTATCATCATTTTATCTTGTCTTTTAAGCATGTTTTAATTAGTTGGACCTTCCAAGATTCAATAAAACAATTGGGTTTCATTAGATTATTTAGGCCCGGTTTGGTTGACAAGATAAGATTAGCAAGATAAAATTAAATAATCTAATGAAACCAAATTATTTTATTGGAGCTTGCAACGTCCAACAAAAAAAACTCATTAGAAGGGATCGATAAGCCATGACTATATAATTTTGGCCCGGCAATTTATTGGGAAACCAAACATCAAATTAAGTCCAAGTCCAACTATTTAGTTAATTATGGCTTATGTGGGCAACCAAACGGGACCTTAGTGGCTAATCTTATCATGGCAACCAAACGAGACCTATAGTCTATCGTATTGGTGAAACAAAGCAAGCTCTGATTAATCAATCATCAGTAACAAAAATGAAAACACCAATTAAGTACTGAAATGAAAGATAAGAAAAAGAAGTAATGAATTACCGCAAAAACGATGCCGAAAGCCCACATGTACTGGACGAAGAAACCAAGGCCATCCCACTGAGCGCCTTCCCAGAAGTTGGGCTCAAGGCCAGGGAGGTCAGGCATTACAAAGCCATCGTCAACTGCAAAACTTGTGTTTTTTTCATCTCCACCAATTTGAGCCCATTCAACTGTTTCAGGTTCTTGAGGGGTTGTAAGAGGGTTGGTTCTCCTGTTCTTGCTGTCAAATTTTCCTGTTTTTGGGGATGAAGAGGTTTTCTTAGGAGTCGCTGATACTGTGAAAGGTGATGATAATGATGATGTTCTTGAAGGGTTCAGATATTGAAGGATTTGGGAGCACGGTCTCCTGTTGTTGTTCACGCTGTTGCAGAGGATCCTGCTGCTGCTACTACTAGCGAGAGCCATTTTTACTCTCTTAGAGTGAGAGAGAGGAGAGAGAGAATGGGGGGAATTATTTGGGTGGTATGTATTTGTGTGGATGAGAAGATAATTATTTGGGTGCTATCTTCGTGTATCCTCGCAACTCAACTCACCAGTCTTTTTTTTTTATTTTTTTTTATTTTTAATTATTCTTTTTAAATATTTCTGCTCTCTCATAATGTCTTCTTCCATTAAAATTTAAAATTAAACGTGTCAAATTAATATATATATATATATATATATATATATATATATATATATGGATTATTTTGTAGACCCCTCATTTCCAAATTATATAGAACTAACTACCAAGTCGATTACACTCTTGAGAAACCCCTCTCATTTCGAAAATATTTTCACATACCACTGGGCCACCCTGAAGTATCTATAATACCCTTTTAAAATCAGTTTTAAACCCTAGTCACTCACATTTCGGTCTCTCTCTTCTTCTCCCAGATTCAAAATTCCGCCTCCACAAACCTCCCACCTGCGAAATTGCTTCCCGGAGTCATAACTCTCTCTCCGGTGGTTGGAATTCGATGGTTTAACTACGTTGGATTCCTCTCACCAAGCTCTTTCTTTTGGTGGTGATTTCATTCAGTTTGGAACGCATATATGTTTCTGCAATTTTTTTTTCATTCGACGACGGTGGTCTTGCCGAAAGTGTATTTTGTGTTCCACCAGTCGAAATTCGACGGGCTACCCACCGTTGGATTCCTCTCGTCAAGATCTATATTTTGATGTTAATTTCATTGTTTTTATGTTTACAGATTTATTTCTATAATTTTTTGCATTTGTGGGTGCGCGGAACCGTGGGTGGTTATTAGCGGCGCCTAGGGTTTTGGTAGGAGGCGAGGGGGGAGAGGAGTCACTCTCTGTTTGATTTAAAATATGTAGCATTTCTGAACAATAATCTCTCTCTCTATCTCTCGATCTCTTAGTGTTTGTTGATTTTTTAGTATTTTGATGTTTCTTCAAATTTTGTTCATTTACACTAAAGTAATTTTGTTTTGTTTTGATTTTGCAATTGCAGCTTAATGAAAGCCATTCATCCTCTACTTGAAGGTGTAAAAAATTTGGTTGAAGTTACATGTGAAGCAGTGTTCAACAAACTGTATACATTACTATACATTACTGTGCATATAGTAACATGTAGTTACAATTCATATAGTAACATGTAGTTACATATACATATATTTGTGCATTTTCAATTTGTATTTTATTGGTTCTGAGGTAATTTATAATAAAAATATTGAAATTTGTAAATTTTTGTTGGGGTTTATAAATTTCCTTTGTATAAGCTAGTATTCGTGTGTGTACAATTGATCGACTAAAAATATGGGGAAAAAAAATGAACATAACTACGAATTACTATAGGTACTATAGTTACATGTAGTTATTTTCAATATAGTAAACATATTGTTTTGAAAATTAAAAAAATTAAAAAATTAAAAAAATTAAAAAAATTAAAAAAATTAAAAAAATTAAAAACAAATTTTTTTTTTTAATTTAAAAAAAATAAAACAAATAAATATATATATAAATTTAACAAACATGTATATTATTATTTAAGAAAAAAATAATAATAATAAATAAATCAGCGAAAATGATAAATGCAGGACCAGAAATGCTGAATGCAGTTTGGCCGAAAATTGCATCTAAGAGTAGTATAGTACTTTCGCTTCTCCAGGGGTATGTCAAATGATGATTTGGGTTTGAGTTTATCCCTAGTTTATTTGGTGGCTAGGGGTATTTAAAATATATATATATATATATATATATATATATATATATATATATATATATATATATATATATATATATATATATATATATATATATATATATATATATATATATATGTATATAGATATATATATATATATATATATATATATATATATATATATATATATATATATATATATATATATATATATATATATATATATATATATATATATATAATTTTCTGGGGCTATTTGGCAAAAACTCTTCATTAAATTTTGGCTTCATGATAAATTTATTTTCTAAATGAGATTATTTGACAAAACCCCTCATCATATAAGTGCAATTACACTTAGCCCAAATTTCTTTCATATTTTTAAGATAAATTCAAAACATCTTTTATTAATAAAAATTAATTAAGTATCACAATTATACCTTTACCTTTATTATAACGTATCTTAGGGTTGAATATAAATATACGTAATATTTGTTCCTTAATATCACATTCTCAATCACACCACAAATATCGCCCATTGAACATAATAACGTGTATCTCTTTTTTTTCTCTCTAGCATTTATTTTTCTCCTTTTTTTTTTCTCTATTCACGGTTGCACATCTCCTTCCGTTCAGCCCTTCTTCTCTCCCCAACAGCGCTACCCCAGCCCCCACCCGGCGACGCCCCAGCCCCCTCAAAGGTTTTTTTTTCCTTTTCGTTTCAATCATCTTTCAATGATTTTAGGGTTTGTGGGGAAGGTTCCTATTTGATAATGATATTGTGAAAAAGACTATTAATTCTTATAAATTGGCAGATCGTTTCTTGGATGTGATGATTGGGTCATAAGATGTGAATTTTCCTAGGATATGTATGAAATTTATTCATGAATATATTGTATAAAACTCACTTTTTATGTGTGTTATTGTGTGTGTGCATCATCTCATTGTGAGTAATTTCCAATTTTGGATCAAGAAAAAAAAAGCGTTAATTTGTTTTTTTAATTAGTTAGCGGTTAGGCATTCTATTTGAATTTTAGGACAACAGTATAAAACAAATTTAATGATTTTCTTATTATTAGTATATTTCGTTAATTTTCGTTATAATTAGAGTGGATTGTCTTTAAAAAGGTTTTTTTTTTTGTTTTTTTTTTTGTAGTGGATTAGGTTAATTTCGTAGTAGATTACGTTAATATTTTGGTGGTTTTCTATATTTTATAGTGGTTTTATGTGCGCTTAATAGTAGTGGATTTCATTAATATTGGTGAATTTGGTTACCTTCTAGTTGATTTCAGTAAGTTCTTAGTGGATTTCGATGTAATTTGAGTGGATTTTGTCTTTGAAAAGAGGATTTTTTTTGTAGCGAATTAGGTTAATTTCGTAGTGGATTACGTTAATATTTTAATGGTTTTCTATATTTTATAGTGGTTTTTGATGAGCATAATAGTAGTGGATTTTGTTAATATTAGTGAATTTCGTGAATTTCTAGTTGATTTCGGTAAGTTTTTAGTGAATTTCGATATAATTTGTGTGGATTTTGTCTTCGAAAAGAGGAAATTTTTTTTGTACTGGATTAGGTTAATTTTGTAGTAAATTTTGCTTTCAGAATGAATTTTTTTTCGTATGAATTAAATTGACATGTTGTGGTCTCCTTTTTCTTTTTATTAGGTTTTTTAACAGGCGGCGATGACACAAGGGTGATTAGGTTGGTTCATGCTCGGGAAACTCTACTATTTGTTAGTGGAGACGGCGTTTGTTGGTGTCTTTTAGAAAAAAAAAAAAAAAAAAACCCAGAGTAATAGTAGTGTTTTGTTAGAATTGTTAAAACTATTTGTTTTTTCTTCTCGCAAAGCACATTGTTTTCTTTTAGTATCGATGATTTGCTTATCTACATCAAATGATGTTGATTGCGGAAGTTTGTGGTTAATTTCATTTAATTTCATAGTGGATTTACGTTAATTTTATTTCGAATTTTTTTGTATTCATAATTGATTTCGATAAACTTATAGTGTATTTCGATAATTAGCGAATTTCAATTTGATAACCTGATAAAAAAAAAATTTTAAAAATATTATTTAAAAACACACTGAAAAGAAACATTGAAAAAAAAAAAAGAAATTTAGTTTTTTAATCAAAATAAAAAACGAAAAAGTTAAATAAAAAAAATTCCAAAAAAATCGAAAAAAATCGAAAAGATGATTTCAAAAAACTGAAATTAAAAAAATGAAAAACAAAACTGAAAATAAAATAAACCAATTTAAAAAAATAAAATGAAAAAATGAAAAATGTAAATAAGAAAATACGAATTTAAAATAAAAATAGAAAATAAAAATCAATCCAAATTAAAATAAATATAAAAAACAAAGAAATCCAAAAAGACCCTAAATGGAGGTAATCTACATTTGGTTTAGTTAGGGCATTTTGGGTAGTTTGTGTCATTTCGGTTTATGTCAAAAATTGAATTAAAATTTGGATTTATCAAGAAGTCAAAATCTAATGAGGGGTGTTTGTCATATAGCCTATTTTTTAATTGACATTTGTTGTAAACCTAGTTAATTCGAATTATCCAAAATGCCTACATTTAATATTACTGAAAATTACCACATTATATTATTATGGAAATTCATTTTTTTTTTAAATATGCAAATTCCCTTAATCTCTCTCCATCTCACGCCTTTTCAGTTTCTGTTTTTCCATTTCTTTTTTATTCTTTTAATGGTTTTCTTTATTTCGATCGAAAACAAAAATTGGTTATTTTTTATTTTTTTATTTTTTATCTTTTATTTTTATTTATTTTTAGTTTATTAAATGGTTTATGTTTAAAAAAAATTGAAATTCACTACATACTCATCGAAAAATATTATATAAATTTATCGAAAATCACTATAAATTTATCGAAATTTACGTAATTTACTACAAATTAACATAATCCACTAAAAACACACATAAAAAAACAAAATCCACTATTCCTGACCCTGGCCACCGACGCCTCTCCAAAATTTCAGAAAAAAGAGCTCATCGAAAAAAATGAAAAACACTACACAATAATCGAAATTGAAATCCACTATATACTCATCCAAAATTACTACAAAATTATCGAAAATCCCTATGCAATCAACGTAATCCTCTCTAATATTAATAAATCCGCTACAAACTTATCGAAAAATACTAAAAATGTGCATATTCCACTACGAAGTAATGTAATTCACTACTAATTACAACTCAAAAATAACTAAAAAAGAAGTTAATCCACTCTTTCAATCTACTTTGGGTTCGGGTTCCTGGTTCGCTGAAATCCGAAAGGTTCTTCCTCGCTTCAGCAATTTCATCAAAAAAAACCATCAAGAAC